AGACAGTTTATGGCCATCCAAAATTCAGGACTAGATAATAATCAAGTCAAGTGGATTCATAGAAGATTAGAAACTTTCAAAGTAATTGTTTCCACTTTTTTTTAAAAAAAAAATGACAAGGAAAATTCGCAGTTACTATTCTTTGGATGCGTACAGCGTAAAAACTTTATTTCTATGCAATAACTGACACTAGACAAGCCTAGTATGACGACGTCTAGCAAAATCTAACTTGTTTTCTTAGTAAAAACTAGTGAGTTACTTTTGGTGAGATTGTCCATCAAATGATTGGATGGATATAAATGGTAATTGTGCAAGCAAACCACAATGTAACAACTTGTAGACTTAGTTATTCAAAGGGAAACATTTTAATTTGTTGATGAGGCATGTGAAGTAGGGCCGTTATCACATGAGACAGGTGGGCAAACCCTATAAATATAGACTAGAACAACTCACTCAAATCATCAAACACCTTCAGTGCATTATTCCTCTCAACAAGTTCTAATAACTTATCTTCAAAATCAAGATCTAGTGATGGGTATTATTCGTTTACCATCAATTATTTCTAGTTTGAAGCGATTTCACAAACTACACTCTGTTGTTACTCGGAATCAAATATCAGATGTACCAAAAGGACATTTAGCAGTTTACGTTGGAGAAACAGAGAAGAAAAGATACGTAGTTCCAATTGCATACCTGAATCACAGTTCGTTCCAGGAATTGCTTCAGAAAGAAGAGGAAGAATTTGGGTTTCAACATTCAATGGGTGGTCTCACAATTCCCTGCAATGAGGAGGCATTTTTCCATGTCACTTCTCGATTGAACAATTCCTCATGAAGAAGCAATTAAGATACAGCAGCATTATATTAGTCATTAGAAACAGATTATATGGATCTTACTGTTCTTCTTTCATTATTATTTTTTTTTTCATCTTGCAATGCTACTTTTGCAAGAGCTGTAAATTTATGTGAATTAAATGATAAAAGAATTGCAAAGCATACACTCATTCTTTGTTACAATTTTTCATTGTCTTCGTAAATTATTTTAGTTGCTTATAGTAAACTCAGGGGCGACTCAATGTATCAGTGGCCTAAAGAAAAAATTAAACAGAGCTTTGAATTTAAATGGTTAATACTTTTTATAGAATTTGTTTTTAATTTTCATCTGATAATATAATTATTTTTATTTTTAATTATTTTTTATGAAATATAATACTTTAAATATGTCAAATTTCTTTTAATAATTCATTTATTTTTCATGAAATGTTTGCTTTTTCTACAAATAATATTTAATATTTATTAAAAAATAATAACTTATAATCTATTATTATAAAAAATGAAACCCCTTAAATTTGAAGCCTAAGGCATATTTTTTTTTTTAACATTGTTGAGTCAGGAGTGACTAAACTGTTTAAGAATAATGAGTTGCTAATTTTCTTAAATCAGTAGAATTTAACAATCAGTTATTCCTTTCGCTCTTCCGTCTCTAAACACTAATTAATTATACAGGTTCAATTTTGTGGAATTATACGGCTAATATGTTAGTTTTCTTATTATTGCATTTGATTGATACAAGTTTTTTTCTTCTGTTATTATCGCATTTGATTGATACAAGTTTTAAGAAAAAGAGATGATTTTTAAAATTTATGATATAAAATAAACTTTAAATATTTCTATAGAAATCATTTTAATTATGGAGCCGACAAGATTAAAAAGAAAAATGGAAGTAATATTGTACTCTTAGTTGATAGTTAATTTTTTTTATTATATGTGTTCAGAATTAAAATACTTAAACTACTTGTGAAGGAATTTATTTATTTTTGTTCCAACATGTGAAATTAGGAAATTCTTTTAATTTATTCTAAAGTATAATTATTGATGTTGATTATGTTTACATGGAATTTCAATCATTTTTATAGGCATTTTAAATATACATTTTAAGTTGGCTTCAAATCACATTTACGTCCTTCAATTTTGGGTGTGCATAAGTAGACACTTAAACTTGTATAAAGTTGAACAAATACACACATGTCCTACATGTCATTGTTTGTTCTACGTGTATTGTGTCACGTAGGACTCATTATTTGTTCAAGTTTATACAAATTTAAGTGTCTACTTATGCATATCCAAAATTAAAAAACATAAATATGAAAATGAAGTCAAATTAAAGGATACATTTATGTATTATATTTTTTTAAAAAAATGAAAATGATGTCAAAGCATTTATGTATAAATGTTGTGTTAGTTGTCGAGAAAATTCTTAGAATCCTTCTTTTCTTCTCGCAGAATTAATATTAAGGAAATTAAATCTAGTTATTGAACAGCATCAACAGTGATGGCTGTGGAGTCGAAGACTTGTAAATTTAAACTTGTAACAATGTTAATTAGATTAAGCAAACCTACATATTCCATAAGTATAATTAATTCCAATAGTAAGTAATGCCAACTGTCAACAAATTTTATATTCCTCCACATTTGTTAAAGTCGTCTACACTTAAATAAGAGTTATTGAATTTGAACTCGAAATATTAAACTTGTTTTTGATAGAAAGTGTTTTACTTTTACCTCTAAAGTGAGACCTGCTCTCATATATCTGAATTAATTGAATGTCAAAACGCCCGTCTCCGGTCCACAATATTAAGAAGTTCTTTTACATTTATTTTTTCTTTCATAATGATTATAATAACTATACTAAGAAAAAGTCGATCTGATTGTAGTTAAATAGAAAATGGTTCCCCAATGATTTGATCTTTTATTATCTGGATCACAAATTCTGTTATATTGGTATCATGTGATTTACTTCCAATTTATTTTGAATTCTTATGAAAAAATCTTAATTGCTTTTTCTTTTTCATTTCCTTGATCAGGCAACTTCGTAGTTGTAGGCTTATAGCTCAATACAGAATAATTAATGTGTTTCATAAATTTCGAAGTGGTATATACGCGGAGAATTAAATTTATGTACAAAAGAATATACGTACAGCTAGTATAATTTATTATGTATATTTATTAGTCGTTCCTTAATCAAATCATTGGGTTGTTAGATCAAACTTATAGTACAGAAATGTTTTTGTTCACACTCAGTGTTTTTCCCTTTTCGTTTCATTTTCATTAGTTGTAAGTCACCGTTATAATATTTTGAAATTTAGATGTATGTTATAGTTGTAAAATCTCCTTTTATTAAAATATCAAATATTCAAGCAACAAAAAAGAACTTCATGTACTAGTTCTACGAAAGTTACATTCGTATATTAATAATTGAGAGAAATGCAAAAGAAAAATACACAATCAATCTTTTTACACTTTCTCATTGTCTTCGAAATATATTTTACTTGCTTATGCAAACAGTTTTTAGTGTAGTGTTGCTTAATTTTTTACGAATTAATCATATAATTCCGTCTCAATTTGATACGAATAAATACTTTTTTGGTGTGCTTGGTTAATATAACTACGCCTCCTTCAACAACTTCATGTCAGAATTTTTAATTTATTACTATGAGTTTAGTTAGTCAAGCTAATTAATTATGTTGACATGGAATTTCATTTTTTTAATCATCTGATATCTGGGTCGACTACTAGGAATAGTATGTCAAAGAAATTTCTTTAATTATTCCATCTTCTGTTTTAGCAGAATTAATAATAAGGAAATCTAATCATTTGATCTTTTATCGAAATATAGTTATTAGGAGTAGTTAGTCAAGATAAAATCCTTGTCTTTCTTAATCAAAACGTTCTCCATTTTTTACTTTAATTTCATATAATCAAGAGAGGAATAGTAGTAAATGAAATCTGAGAAAATGCACAAGTACTTTTTCAATCTGGAATTTCAGAGACACACTTATACTATATAGATGTTCTATTACCCCTGAACTTATTTTACAAGTAATTTTCTATCCCTTTTCGACCTACGTGGCATTAGCTTGAAAAAAAAGTCAATCCGCGTTGGGCCCATAAGATAGTGCTACGTACGACGAAAAGGGGTAGAAAATTATTAAATAAAATAAGTTCAGGGGTAATAGATCCTTAGTATCGTATAAGTGTGTCTTTGAGATTTCGGACATAGATTGATGGGTAGTTGTGCATTATTCCATTAAATCTCTTTACCATTTTGATAAAAAGAAAATGATGTTTTTGTTAAAGAATGACAAAAGTCTCACATCGGTGATTAATGAGATGGGTGGACTCTTTATAAGGCTTGGACAATCCTCCTCCCTTTGAGCTAGCTTTTGGGGTGTGAGTTAGGCCTAGGACCTAATTTCACATGGTATCAGAGCAGGGTCCGTTTCACCCGATATTGGACTCCCCAAAATCAAAATTGCCCACGCACCACATGCTAAGCACTGGGCGTGAGGTGGGGTGTTAAAGAATGACAAAAGTCCCACATCGGTGATTAATGAGATGTGTGGACTCTTTATAAGGCTTGGACAATCCTCCTCCCTTTGAGCTAGCTTTTAGGGTGTTAGTTAGGCCTAAGACCTAATTTCACATATATTTTATTATAGAAATAAAGATCTTTGTAAATGCACGAAAAGAATTAATTCATTTTCTTGATCCGGCAACTTTATCGTGGAAGCTCGTTAATGAATTAATAATGTCTTCATAGAAACAATGCTATTTTCATGCAAGTAGGCAATAGCCACTAGTTGGAACATATACTTGTGTATAATTAAGTTTGAATATTCAACCCCAAAAATACAAAATTTGTTGTGTATTTATGAAAATTATAGACCAAAATACATATATGTGGGCATGCCTTTATTTCCGCAGAAGATAGGAAGGCTAAAGTTATCTTTACATCATTAATGAGTAATGACTTCATAACTTTTTGCAGAAGTAGAAGTACTTATACATAGTTCTAACTTGTAACGTACTTCAATGCAGTATGGGAGTTGCAATTTGATACCAGAAAAGAATAAGACTGCGTAGTACAAACAATGGGTGAATGGTGGTATACATAGTAGATAGATACCACCAAAATTTAAGGAAAAAATAATCAAGTGGATATAAATGGCAGACTCAATTTGATTAATTAGCTCTCATTACTTTTATCTTTTTGAGCCAAACAATATACATTTTATTTTTTTACACGACCGTGATATTCGAGTCAGCTTTAACACATCTTGATTAATTCTATGAGATATATGTCATATCCCACCAATAATAGTATCAAGTAACTCTGTTCATCAAATATCAAACATAAGAATAATTACCTAACATTATCTTTTTATCTTTTTATTGAGTTTTGAACCAAGTAGTCGTAATCAGGTCAAAGTCGTGTGGGGAAGGAACTTAAATTCACAATTTGGCTGTTTCATCAGATTTTGGAAGGAATTCAATAATGGTCTGGGAATTGGATAGGAGTATTTTATTTGTTGATGATGAAGCAAACATGTGAAGTTGGACCCATTTCACATGATTACCAATTGTACACAAGGACAGGCTGAGCTGCGGTGGAACGCAACATCATCTTCCAGTAGCTATTATAAATAGACAGTCAGACAAATCATCAAACACTTCAACTGCATTATCTTTCTCAAGTCATTAACAAGCCTTTAATAACAAGATCTAGTGATGGGTATTATTCGTTTACCACCAATTATTTCAAGTGTGAAGCAGTACCACAAACTGCACTCTGTTTTAAGTAGGAAGCAAATATCAGATGTACCAAAAGGACACTTTGCAGTTTACGTTGGAGAAACAGAGAAGAAGAAGAGATACGTAGTTCCAATTGCATACCTGAATCACAGTTTGTTCCAGGAATTGCTTCAGATATCAGAGGAAGAATTTGGATTTCAACATTCAATGGGTGGTCTCACGATACCCTGCAACGAAGACGCATTTTTTCATGTCACTTCTCGATTGAACAATTCCTTATGAAGAATCAGTATTAGTTAACAGACTATATATTAGAACTTAATTACTGATTTTCTCTTTCATTCATTTTTTTCCTCTTGCAATGCAAGAGCTGTAAATTTATGTGCATTAATGTTCACTGGATTGGAATACAATCATTTTATTATTTTTTTACAATTTTTTCATTTATCTTCGAAAAGAAAATGTAACTTTGTTTCTTTACTAACAACTCAATTTGCCTATTATTGTGATTTCTAGGACTTCTATATATGTTTCAAATATATAAACTTTATGCTTTTGTGTTTGAGGTCACTAAGTTTAAATTTTGAAATTTTAACATAAACTAAAACAAATAAGGTAATAAATATTACTTCTAGTTTCTTCACTCTATTTTAAAATAAGTGAATTTTTATTTATTTATTGTGTTTTAAATAAGTAGAGTTTCATATAATGAAAAAGGCATTAAATTTTTTTCTTTCGATTAATCTCTTATTTTAAGTAAATGAAATTTTATGTAATCAAGAATCATTGAGGAGTTACGGTTTTTTTAATGTAGTTAGTTGATTAACAATGAATTAGTAAAAATAATTAATCCATCTCATATTACTAATCAAAATCAGAGAAGAACATTTTTATTAATTTACCCTTTAAACTTTTTAGCACTGCACTCTAGTTGTGTGCCTTATACACCACTACCAATATTAATGGCGGATGAGTTTTCTTTCAAATTTACTACAGCTTGTTCGGATTAGCTTAAAAAAATAATACTAGCTAAATTAAAATAACTTTTAAGCAAAAAATAAAAATAAAAAATAGGAGAGACCTATTTTTAGTTTTAAATTTATTTTTAAGTTATTTTTTATTTATTTTCATATTTGTCAAATTTTTTTAAAAGTTAAAAAATTGACTTAAAATTAGATTTAATTTACTTTTAGGACAATCCAAACACCCTCTTAATTATACTTTCAAAGAATTAATTGTAAAGGTAAACTGAAATTTTTTCAAACTCTTTATCTTTGTTTTGTGAATTAACAACAAATTTGAAACACTTATCTTAGTAATGTGGAGAAGTAATTTACTTAAGAAATGTGTTCAAGCTAAAAATACCTCTTATCATAAAACAAAGAAAGTATCATTTAGTACAAGGGTCTATTTGGATTAATTTTTGATTTATGACTTATAATTTTTTTGGCTTATTTTGTTATTATGACTTTAAAATAAGTACTTTTTAACTTTATTCAAACATTACAAATCTGTTTAAAATCTATTTTAGTTTTAAAAAATCTAAAATAAGTTGATTCAGACGACACAAAGCTAATATTCCCTACGGCTTCTGCTTCTTTTTTATATGCATCAATGCACCTTTAGTTCACATGCCTAATCTTATTTTGGCATTACTCATCTTAATTGCCACAAAATTCAATTTTACCTTTATGTGTTTCTAATCTTATACTATTATATCTCTTTTTGATTATACCAAAACATCCATCTAAGAATCTTTAAAAACGCGGATAGAGTAACAAATTTATGAGCCATCATCAATCTGCAGACGCACACAATAATGGCTTATCATAAAATCATAAATGTGCCTAATGATTTCTTTTCCTTTTGGCAACTTCTTTGTAGTAACTTATGTGTGTTTGTAAATTTAAAATCCAATATACGCGGAGAACTATACTATGTACAAAATGAATATACAGACAGGTAGTGGATATTGGTCAATTTAAGCAATTTATTTTATTAAGTGTTTAGTCCTTACTTAATAAATTAAATCATTTGGTGGTTTGTTCAAACTTAATAATACGGAAATTTGTTTTTGTTCACATAGAAATTATCTTTTCGTCCTTTTCATTTCCTTTTGTTGCAAGTCACATTAATAAGATCTATTATGTAGGTCTTCTCTTTCCGGCGGATCCACGTGGTATCCGCCGGGTGCTCGAGCATCCATTAACTTCGTTACGGAATATATATATCTATGTAGAAACTGATTGATATTTGTATAAAATTAACATAGAGCACCCAATAAATAAATTTAGCTGGCCCAATGATTCTTGGATGGGTACTTAAAACTCTTTTATTGTTGTTGTATCAAGGTTCGAATCTCATTGTTAACACATATTTTTATATTCTCACTTAGAGCACCCACAACCTTAAATTCCTGGGTCCGCCTAACACATATTTTTATATTCTCACTTAGAGCACCCACAACCTTAAATTCCTGGGTCCGCCACTGTCTCTTTCCCAATATCAACGGAGAGATTACCTATTCTAAAATATTTATATATTTACGAGGTCTCAAATTTTTGGAGTCATAAAAGCAAAAGTTTTATTGGTTCTCCTGTTGTCCTTTTCCTTTAAATGGTGATACCTTTAAATAGTAAAATCGTTATAAAAAAAATTTTTATGTACACCACTGAACAAAGAGTAATTTAAAAAATATGTTCTTTATCAATTGAAATTTCAGAAAAGATATAAAGTACGGATAGATGTCATGATTTATTGTATTACAACCATGATAAAAAATAAAATAACATTAAAGTAAAAGGAAGATCAACCCAACACATGAAGGGTGCGTCACATACATTTATTAAATAAATACCGCCAAAAGTTTTTACAATTTTTTTTTTGTTTTTCACTCGGTGTTCAGTATTTATATTATAGTTCGATTAAATTTCGATTCGCACTAAAAAGATCCACATTAGGTAAAGCGCTTCTTAACAAAGGTGATTTTGTATCCGTGAGGACTCAAACCTAAGACCTCTTGATTAAGGATGAAGGAGTACTTAACGCTTCAATTTTTAGTGGTTATTTCCATGCAAGTTGCCACCGGTTGGAAACTTAATTAGAAACTTCAACAACAACAATAATTGAGCAGAAGGGTAGAATTCTTTATTGTGCCATAAGCTGACACAAATTGTGAAGATATTAGACAATAAAATAATGGCTTCACAACTATGGAAAACAGAAATATATACGTGGTGACTTCAGAAACTACTTGTACTTGTAAGGACTTGCACTTTCGTGGAGAACCTCTAACAACAATAAGGCAGCATGGGAGTTACAATTTGGTAGAAAAATATAATGTGGATAAATATGCATATTGTATTTGTCAAAAGTGGAAACAATGGGAGCATAGTGGTATATATATTACCACTTTATGGCCACCCTCATCACTATATTACTCAATCAATTGGAAATTGTAAATGTTAAATAAAATACTCACCATGTGAAGTAGGCCCTTTTTCACATGCCATAAATTATATAGTCCACAAGGACAACTGACCTGCAAGCACATCACTATAAATATTAACCTTAAATTTACAAACTTCAGAGAACCATAACAAGTCAGTCAAATCATTAAACAACTTAAGTTATTCTTCACAAGTACCAGTTTTCAGTCATAATTAGAAGATCTAGTGATGGGTATTATTCGTTTGCCATCAATTATTTCAAGTGTGAAGCAATTTCACAAACTACACTCTGTTCTTATGAGGAATCAAATTTCAAATGATGTACCGAAAGGACATTTTGCGGTTTACGTTGGAGAAACAGAGAAGAAGAAACGATACGTTGTTCCAATTGCATACTTAAATCAAACTTCGTTCCAGGAATTGCTTCAGAAAGCAGAGGAAGAGTTTGGATATCACCATTCAATGGGCGGTCTCACTATACCTTGCAATGAGGACGCATTTTTTCATGTCACCTCTCGATTGAACACATGTTTATGATACGAACAAGTGTTCTTTCTTTTATTTTGATTTGATTTTTTTTCCTCTTGTCATGCAAGAGCTGTAAATTTAATATCTTCAAAGTTTTCCTCTGGTTAATATTGTTCAGAGAATTGGAAAGAAAATATACAATCAATTTTTTATTTTTTTTTAAACATTTTTCATTGTCCTCGAACCTTAAACCTCAATAAATTGAAATCTTAGAACAGCCTGTGAGTTCAACTAGCAACCACTCCCGTCTCATTATCATAGTCAAGAAGGAATACTTAGTACAACTTGGATTGTGGTGCAATGATAAGATTGTTTTAATTAACTAGAGATTTCAGGTTCAAGCTTCGAGTATGGAGAAAACTTTGTTTGTAGCGCCAATGAACCTTGTTTGGGATTTCATGTAGTGCATTGGATTCAAACACTCTTTGGTAACCAAAAAACCAAGAAAAGAAGGAACATACTATTTTGCTAAGTCCTAAATAATCTAAACCAATTTGGGAATGAGAACACAAATCTCTCAAAAAGGGGTGGCCTTGATTTTTTTGACTCCACTTAACTTTTTTTTAAAAAAGCCTTATTCCAGAAAATACAGTAGGCAATTTTTTAATTTTTTTTGATCATCAGCAAGCATAAATTAAACTAATTTTTGCATATACAGTGAGCTTGTTCAGTTGTCTTGATTTGGGTTACAAATTTAGCATAGAAGATGTCAAAGCACTTCTATATTGAAGTAGTGGTCAAGATATTTCTTTTCTTTTAAGAACCTTTCATATAGAAATATTGAATTGGAGTCTCACAACATTATCAAAATATATTTTTTTCACATATCCTACTGAGTAAAAATTTAAATACTTAATAAATTTAATCATGTAAATTAACGAAGTAAAAATTACTACTCAGAGAATACTATCTTCATGCAAGTTGCCACTTGCAACTAGTTGACTGCCAAATTAAAGAATTCAACACCGATAATTATTAGCACAAGTGGAAACAATGGCTTATCAAATCACATGAATGTGGGCAGTTACCTCTAAGGACTCTTTACACTTAATTCACCAATCAACAACGACAAGATCACAAGAAGGCAGCATGGTCAAAGTGCACATATAGTGATAAAAATTTTATTTTTTATTTTTGGCACAAACCATAGTCTCTCTGTCCAATAATCCTAGTCAACTACTACCTTCGTCCCTAATTACTTGTTCACTTTTCCTTTTATAATTATTCTTAATTACTTATTCATTTTGACAAATCAAGAAAGGATAACTTTTTTACCCATTATACCCTCCACTTCATAATTAATAGGGATAAAATAGTAAATTCACTATGCCATTAATTATTTTCTTAATAGGTGTGTCAATTCAAAAGTGGACAAATAAATAGGAATAGAGGGAGTATTAACTTACACGCTTCTTAAGAAACTCTAAACAGAATAAATGCAAGGTTTTGAAAAATATGAAAATGAGTATAACTAATAATAAGGGTAAATTAAGAATTAAATGTAAAATTAAAAATACTCAAGTATTATTAGACATTCCCAAATAGTATAGTGTACAAGAATTATATATATATATATGGATAAACATATACATGCCTAAAGTGGAAACAATGGGAGAATAGTGGTATAGATATAACCATCTTATGGCCATCCGTCATCACCAAAATTCAGGAATAGATAAAAATGAGTGGATGGTAGAGTAGAACAAACTCTCCAAGTAATTGTATTTATGCGCCAAAAGGACCACTGTTCTCCCTATAATTGGCAACTAATTAGTTCAGACTCCTAACTAATTAGTTTGGCCAAAACTTAAAAGAGGTGGCAAAATCTAAGTTTAAAACTAGTATTTTTTTTTTAGTTTAATTACATTGGCTCGTTTGATACCTCTACTAGCAGCTAAGACTGCTAGCAACATACAACTTTATTCAAGTCTTTTCGGCAAGTTCCAGAACCTTACACGCGCTCCGTACAATAAAATTTTATACGTATCTTTTATTTTTTCCATTATAAAAGAAGACCTATTTACGATGCAACACGCATTGGAACTATAACAACCCATACCGCACTACTTATATCAGGTAAGAATATGAAGCATGTGAAGTAGGGACTCTCCCACATGGAACCAATTGACCTGCCGTGGCACGCAACCTATTGCAATTTGCAAGCAGACTCTCTATAAATATATAGACTAGAACAACTCAGTCAAATCATCAAACACCTTCAGTGCATTATTCCTCTCACATCAAATACCAAAACTTACCTTCAAAATCAAAGATGTAGTGATGGGCATTATTCGTTTACCGTCAATTATTTCCAGTTTGAAGCAATTTCACAAACTACACTCTGCTGTTGCTCGGAGTCAAATAACAGATGTACCAAAAGGACATTTAGCAGTTTACGTTGGAGAAACAGAGAAAAAACGATACGTAGTTCCAATTGCGTACCTGAATCACAGTTCGTTCCAGGAATTGCTTCACAAAGCTGAGGAAGAATTTGGATTCCAACATTCAATGGGCGGTCTCACAATACCCTGCAACGAGGATGCATTTTTCCATGTCACTTCTCGATTGAACAATTCCTTATGATGAAGCAATTAATTAGTCTTTTTCCCCTTTCATTCTTTTTTTCTCACTCTGAGAAGGTTAACTGTATGTACAAAGCTTACCACTACAATCAAATGGAATTCCAATTCTTTTGTTTGTTATAGCTAAAAAAAAAGTATGTTAAATTATTTATTTTGCTAAAAAATAAAAATAAAAATAACTTCAATAGATAAAGGTACGAAGAATAATTTTAAAGAAGTCCTATAATTATTATTATACTTCCAAGTGATGCATGATTAGAATATTACAAATAATTTGATACAAAAGGAGCCCTGATTAATATGAAGATCCAAGAGTAATTAGGCTGTCATCTAGGTTTGGAATCAGATAATCATTAAGATGAATTAGGTAAACTAATAATTAAGGAATATGACTTTTTAATAAAGACAAAAGAAAGATACATAATTTTGTTAGGACAATTAATTATCGCTTACAATTCAAACAATCAATGCACTACCTTTCATAAATCAAATTATTCCTTTGACTATGTGATATACTTACCGTTTTAAGAATCAAAAGAAAATATTTAATCGCAAAATTAAATAATTTTAAAAATTATATTAAAAAATTAATTAATTTAATCATTTATTTTAATGGGAACCTATAAAATAAAATGATTTTACATTGCCGCACCACGTCCATGTGATGAGAAGTCACACACGAAAAGAGAGGAAAAGAAAAAGAATGACCAATATGAGTAGATGGTCGCGATTCTTTTATTTTGTCAAGAGATTTTGAGTTTAAATAAAAAATAATCTCGTTGAAAATGTAGGTTTTAAAAATAAATTTTATACTGTACTTTTTCTGTTATTTTTTATTTGTTTATTTTTTCTATTATAATTATCTCTAATTACTTATTTATTTTGACAAATCAAGAAATGACTAATTCTTTTACTTATTATATCTTCAATTAAATGATCAATTACTTTTAAAAATATGAAATTTTTCATTCACTTCATAATTAATAAAAGTAAAATGGTAAGTCTATAACATCATTCATTATTCTTCTAATAAGGTATGTCAATTCAAAAATAGACAAATAAAAAAAACATAAAAAAAGTATAAAATTTAATCAATTTTTTAAACAAATGAAATAAACAAAAGACTTCAAAGTTCAAATGCATGTACTTCTAATTAAGGACATGTGCTCTTTGCGTAACCCCCGGAATGAGAAGAAATAAATAGTCCCTTCTTCATGGGTTCTATTTCTTCATTTCATACTATCTTTAAAATTTTAAAATATTATTAATAAAATTAATTTAATAGAAATGACTCCAAATAAATGGCTAAGGGTGTTGCACTTTTATTACAATTTACTTTATGATTTGCTTAAAACATATTTTATTAGAAAAAATCATAACTAGTTAATTATAAAGAGTTTAAAGCTCTGTGAATACACTACAAGTATAAATATTTATATATATATATAAAATAGTTACATATAATATAGTTAATTGACATTCTTTCTTTTCCATTTTTAAAAATAAAATATTACATTCTATAATTAGTATTGCCTCCTAATATTATACCTACATAATTAGAATAAAATAAAATTTCAAAAAAGCACTTTAAATTTCATTTCAAATTAAGTTAACACAAACAAATAAAAAGAGAAAAATAAAACAATGTAAGTGTAATTGATTCACCATATATATTAATGTTCACCTAATTTAATAGTACGGTTGCTGCAAGTTGCGTTTCTCCACATTAACAAATTAATTTCACTTAAATGAACTGAATATTACTTAAATCTACTAAGTCAACTCTGATTTTGTTAAAGAAAAAATTAATTTATGAGATCTGTGCCACAGATTCTCTGAGGATTTTGATAAGTAACAAGATTTATGCATTAATTCATCCTCGAATTATAAAGTCTACATACTATAGCTGTTAAGAATATTTATGCATTCATTCTTAGAAACTTAGTGTTTGAATAAATAATATATTCAAATATATGCATACATAGAGATACTAGTTGGATCTGGTACTCCATTAATTAGTTCATCAATATTTTAAGAAATAATCATTGGTTTGTTTAGTCTAATCTCTTCAATACACAATTCATGTGCGTTCGTTCACATTTAGGATTGGAATCTTGTCGACCTTTTGGAGGTCGTGGATAAGCTTCTTAGCATCCATTCATAGCATTGTCATAAAATTAACGATAAATTTAAAACTTTTCGTAGCATAACGTAATGCTAAACATTACTTCGTTTATAAAGTCATAAGTACATAATTAAGAAACTAAATCTCGTCTGTCATCTTAGACTCAACATCAATATAATAGAATAGGAACATTGATATGAAGGTCCTTGAATCATATAGACACAATAATTTTTAAATTGACTAAGATCCCTCGAGAAACCCAATTTAAAAAAATTCGCCTAGATACAATATTTTTAAACCCTTTAAAGAGTTAAAAAAAAAATGAAGGGCCCAACCGGGTTCGAACCGGTGACCTCTTGATCTGCAGTCAAATGCTCTACCACTGAGCTATGGACCCTTGATGTCTTTAGGTAAGTAATTAAGATAAATTAATCTTGTTATTAATTGTTTAAATTTTACTAATTACCTTTTCCAGAGTTTATGCATAGAAGAAGCTAAAATTCACATGAATGTGTTGTTACTCTATTTCCAAGGCATCATACACTTTACAAATAAGCTGGCTATTTAGGGCCAGTTTGGATGGGCTTAATAAAAGCAGCTTTTAAAAAAGTACTTTTAAAAGTGCTGAAACTTATTTTTAAAATAAGCAGTTATGCGTTTGGATAAAAGTGCTGAAGTTGTTATGTCAAACGTGAAAAGGAAAAAATGGAAGAAAGAAATGTTAGGGTTATATGGGTAATTTGGAGATTGTACAAAAATAGTAAGCACAAAAAGATAAAAATGTGGTCAACTTAAAACAGCTTATAAGCTAAAAAAAAAAAGCACCCCTACCCCAGCTTTTAACTTTTGGCTTAAAATAAGTTTTTTTAGCTTAAAATAAGCTGTTTTGAGTATTGCCAAACAGCTAAATAAGTCAAAAACCAGCTTTTAAGTCAGTTTGACCAGCTTTTAAGCTGAGCCAAACAGGCTCTTAATTAATTAGCCACCTCTGACTAAATGACATATTCAGTCAGAGTAGTTGCCTACATTATTTGTTATTTTTAAATTAATATATCTACTAAAAAAAATATAGTTAATATAGTAAACTTTTTATTTTATTTTATTAATTATGAAGAGAATGAATAAAAAATTTAATATTTTTAAAAAGTTTTATTTTTTTCAAAATAAATACGTGATAGTATAATAGGTAAAAAAACTTTTTTTATTTATTAAAATAAACGAGTAAATAGAAATAACTAAATGGAAAAGAAATCAGGGAATATTTTATAATTAGTATTTTCTTAAATGAGCTTATAAAATTAGTATAGCCATGTGAGATAGGGACCCATAGTCCATAATAACAGCTGATTTTCGGTGGCAAAACATGTAACCTTGCTTATATAAACACATAAATACTTTTCCAAAACTCCAAACTTCACAACAAGTTAATTACTCAATCTCAAAAAACACCAAAGTTAATCTTGTTCCAATATCAAAAACATGGCTATTCGTTTGCTATCTATAATTTCTGGTGTGAAGCAATTCCACAAATTGCAATCTGTTGTTACTCGAAATCAAATATCAGATGTACCAAAAGGACATTTTGCAGTTTACGTTGGAGAGACAGAGAAGAAAAGATACGTAGTTCCAATTGAATACTTAAATCACATTTCGTTCCAAGAATTGCTTCAGAAAGCAGAGGAAGAATTCGGGTTTCAACATCCAATGGGCGGTCTCACAATACCTTGCAATGAAGATGCATTTTTTCATGTCACTTCTCGACTGGAGACTTGTTTATGATCTATACACTAGATTAGTTAGAGCTTATAAGATTTTGAATTTTGTTGATCCTCTTGCCACACAAGAGATGTAAATTTAATCATATATTATTATAAGTGGGAAGCTCTAAAGTGAAAAAGTTGAATTACCATTTTGATCTTGTACTAAATTGAAATTTGATTAATTATTTAACATTTAATTAGTTAATTTAAATATTAAATTGTCTCATTTTAATAATAAAAATATTAATAACTTTTGTACTTCCTTAGATTAATTTCTAATTAAAGTATCTAATTTAATAATATTGATCATTTATTATCTATACGTATATTTAATTTAATCTCCATCATATCATATAATAAGCATAATAATAATAATAATAATAATAATATACTAAACGTGGAAGGAATATTAGGCAAAAATTAGATTACATTTTGTCCTATATCATATAAAAATATTAATCGTCTAATAAATTGTTAACTAAATATTAAATAGTAAATTTTAATTACTATAAGGGAGGATTACACATTAAGCAATATCAAATTTATCAAATTCTTCCTGGTTACAATTTATTTATGTTGATGGTTAATTAATATTAAATTGTTAGAAATAATTATTATCAAGAAGACAAAAAGACTTCTAATGATATTTTTCAATGAATTAAAGGTGAAGACTAAAGGTTATAAAATTAATTAGGAAACTGATAGGTCTCTTTTATTTTTTTCCTTTCATCTCCCCTCACCTAAAATTTTCCTATTTAAAGTCACCTAGAAATGAAAATTAACTTATAAATCTCATCTGATCTTCTTACTAAAGTATGTTAATATGTCAGTTCTCTCTTATAAATTAAGATTCATTTTCTCATTTTTGGTATATCATCTCTTTCTTCTTTTTTAATTTCCTTTCTGATCATAATCATAGACTGCTGAAGGAAAGTTGTCATCAATCTTTATATAATTGTTAAAGGCAATAACATTATTGTTGTATTCGGATCGAAGACATTATGATTAATTGTAAGGAATGTTTAAAGAAAATAATATATTTTTATCACGTTATATGAATTATAACAAATAATGAATGTTTGTACTATTTTATGTAAAGTGATTATAGCTATGGCCATTTCCAAAGTTATTTTCATAATTGTTTTAAATGTTCTTTTATAATGTTTCTCTTCTTATTCATTTTAAGTTAAATATGTTCTCTATTTATATAAAGAAGTTTATGTTTAAATAATTAAATAGATGTTACTTATTTAGACTTTATAAAATTATTGGTGTAGAACATGTACAATACTATATATGTACCATTTACTAATTATTGATTGTAGTACAAAATTTATATTAAATAGTTTAAAATAAACGTGCAACGCACGTTCTGAAGACTAGTTATATATAAACAAAACATTGGAATCAATTTTTGTCTTGGAGATTATAATAGTCAAACATCTTCTAAAATTTTGGTGCTTCATCATCTGATTATGTAAATGCTAGTCATTTTTATTTTTTGGAGTAGAATTTGCTGTTTTACAGATCCTATTTGATAATTGATTTAGTGTACTTCCAGTATTGTAAAGTAATTAGGAAATAGTTAATAACTTTCATTATCACTCAACTATTCATTGTTTTCACAAAAAGTCACTCGACTTTTATTTACAACTCAAAACTCCATTATAACTTCTTTGCACAGAACTCAACTTTCATTTTCAACTCAAAAATCGCTTAACTAGGACTTCTTTGCACAAAAAGTCACTCAACTTATTTAATTATTTTTTTATTAAAATTTAATAACATTAAATTTTAATAACATTAGGGAATTCGTATGTGTTAATTACACGGACGGATTGCCTATTTGTCGTATAATATTAAATTAAGATTTCATAATATTCCTTTATAGTCTGTTTCAAAAAGAATCATCATTTTCCTTTTTTGTTAACATTTTAATTTTTCATGTAACATATTTAAGACCACGAGATTAAAGGACATTTTGGTACATTTACTATAACTTTAATTTAGAGGCACAAAAATTAAAAAGTCTCTTTCTTTTCTTAAACTCCATTCCGAGTCAAATTCGACCATCATTTTTGAAATGGATGGAATATTATTTTTCTAATTACACAAATTCCATGTTTTTTTTAGATATTTTAGATACATAATTAAGTATTTGGATACATTATTGTTGATGCACATTGTATCAATCTGTTACACTTATTAAGGAAAAAATTGAAAAATTTAATTAAGATTTCATAATATTCATTTGTTGGACTAATTAAGGGAAAAAAATGAAAACCAAATTAGATCCCATAACTTGGGCCATACTGTTTCAAATTATTGTCAAGTATTTAATCACGTTCAAAATTTTATTTTTTTCTTTTATTCATCATTTTTTATTTCATAAATTTTTGTCGAAATTTTGGATAAGCGAGGTGACTAACGAATGATACAAAAGTAATGGATTATTGTTGGAAAAAGATTTGTTTTGTGAGTTCTCAAGTTCATTGAATATTCTTTTGATTCGAATTTATATATCATAACTAAAAAAATTGGTACATGTAACTAGTACAAATTAGATTATTTTTTTTATGTGTAACACAAAGTTATGTATTAAGTACAAATAAATTGAACATCATAAACACTAATTAAAATTTTAATAATATTAGTGTTACGTATCAATACGCTGAATATGAACATAATATTGTAGCAGTGATGTAATAACTAATTTTAAGACTCAAAATAAACATGATACATTAAGAATCTGCAATGACAGATTTCAACAAAAAAATTTAACGACGATATGATTAACTAAAATTGGTTCAATTGGATTTCAATGGGGGCAGGAGCAGGGGCAACGGTAATGTTTTTATTTTATTTTTTAAGATGAAAAAATTAAAAAAATATAATAAAAGAAATTGGAAATTGAAATGATAGAAAAAATCTACCTCTTGAATAATTTGAAATCCGTAATTGAAAATTGAAAAGATTTGAAATTAATAGATTAATTGATGTAATTATGGAGAGATTGTAGCGAGATGGATATGGAATTTCAACTAACTTTGTTTGTTTGTATCGTTTAATTTACTTAGTTCTCTAAGATAACCTTTTTATTTTGAAGTGTATTATTTACTTAAACATTTTGTTACATATGAATTTTTTTGTCTTAGTATATAGTATGACAAATCTTTTCTTTAAAAGTAGCAAGTTAATGACATAATACATAAATATAATTCTTAAATTAGTGTTGGTTGACAACTATGACGCTTAACTGGATATATATAAGTAGATATTTAAACTTATATAAAATTGTACAAGTAGTTACACGTGTCTTACATGACATGATACACATAGGACTCCATATAGGGCACCAAATTTACATGTAGGGTGCCATAAAGGATGAATGTATCAATTTGTTCAATTTTATATAAGTTTAAATACGTGTGCACATCTAAAATTAAGGGTCATAGTTATCAACTGATGCCAAGTTAAGAGTCATGATTATGTATATTATAGGAAAAATTACATATCTACCCATACTTAATTACCACATATACATATTTTATCTCTTTTTTAAAAATATTACATAGAATACCACTTTCTAAAAAATATACCATATTTATAAAAAAATTAAATCGGATACACAATCCTTTTAAATATAATAATGAATAATTATCTTAAAATAACATCTCCTCAATTAGTTGGACACTACCAATTCAATAATTTTGTTTTATTATTTTCAATTGTTTTCCTTCCCAATCCCTAAATGGATACCTCACGTATCCCACCATTTTTCTTCTTCTTCATTAAACGTTTCCTTTTCCTATCACAAGAAATATTGTATCTAATTCTCATTCTCACACGTATCCCTTCTTCCTTAACCATTTTTATTTCCTTTTACATGTGCTAAATTCAAATCAAACTCCACATAATTAGTATTAGTTAAAGTGACAAAATAAGATTGTCTTCAGTTTTTTCTATTGTATATTTGTTTTCAATCGTATCATGTATTTAATTCGATGATTTAGATTTTTTTTAGCCAATTTATTGTAGGGTTTTTATATTGTTTGCTCCATTTTGATGGCTCATATTTCAGAAAATAGTATGAATATTGTTATGTATTTGAGACACATAATTTTGAATATAATGTATGAAATTGATACTTTATACATCAAATCAATAATAGATACATAAAATTAAAATTAGATCTATAAATAAATACATGAAATTAATATTATCATATAAATAGATACATGAAATTAATACTGGACATGTATAACATATACACAAAATTAATATTAGATACTTCAATGGTACATATGAATCTACTTGTATGATACGCATCTAAGTGTTTTGTTTGTTGGATACATCATATATTGATAATAGATACATCAAAATAATAAATTTTATTATTTTAAGAGTAATAAAATGAAATTAATCAAATTGCATGACCAAGATATACATGTTTTTTTCTTTTATAAATGATATTAGTGAATTTATTATTTCAAATAATAATAGAATCAAATTAATATATACACTCCTTGATTTTCGTCTTAAATTAAGAAACTTGATTATAACCAACTAATTTAAACAAATAAAATACGGATCTCAATTTTAAAATTGGCAGAGACATGTATCTCACAAATTCAAACTCATGTATCCTAAGTATGAAATATGTTAGAGGAAGTAATATTCAAAACTCTTGGGAATCTAAGTAATGAGAATCTAAACTAATGGGATTTATGTAGTTTACCCTTTTTAAATTTAGTTCAAAAAAAATTAAAATTAGTTGAAAAGTCTTTTAGTCAAATTGTTGGTCAATCTTCTCGAAATGTAAACTGAACCCCGAACCTATTTTCTTATTTTTAATTGATTTTTATCTGCTTGAATCTTTTGAAAAATTTATCAATTTTTCTTAAAAAATAAATTAAATTGACGTTTTGAAAAATTTAATCTTTTATTTCTTAATTTTCAAGTAAAATAGGTAGATGTATTAATTTGGGGATGCTCGGATTAGTTGACATCAACTTTTTATGTTCATTGTCTATATTGATCGTTGATAATATAAATTCAAACTTAAGTAAATTATGATGGAGCCTTAATTCAAATAATTACTTTTTTTTCATAGTTATTTGTTATATTTGAATTCGATATATACTTT